TAATACTATGCGTACTAATTAGTACGAATTTTACTAATCAATATATTAATCTTTGTTAAAATTATATATAGTATCTATACTATGTATATAATATTCATACTATATTATATATGATATCCATATTATGTATATAATATCTATACTATATTTTAGGTTAATACACTGATTAATATAATTAGTTAATACGCATGGCATTATCCTTTTACTTAATGGGAGTTGATAGTTTATGCAAATCTTGGTTGAATGAAAGATTGCAGTAGTCATTCACTGTAATAGTTCATCAGCATCCCCTTAAGCATATGTCAAAGAGCTGCGATTCCGATTTGACCGCACTGCTCCTTCATCTGCAACTTTCACTTCATGTACAATCTTGTTTTTATTAATTGAACTTGTTTTAATAACGGTGGATTTATGGATTAATTTAAAACTAATGATGAAAATTGAAGATTATTTTTAGGTTGGATAGAAAACTATGGGTGGGTGCAGTCATTATATATATATAAAAGGTGTCATTTTATCCTTAAGTCAGGTGTACAATTTTAACCTTCAGGTTGGTGTACGATTTTTGTAAATCATGTACAAGGTGTTGAAATTTTTTTATTTTTTTATTTTTTATGAAACAATCTTAAAAGAGTTATTGAAGAAAATTTAATCAATGGGTTGGTACACACAAGATGTCGCCATAAACAAAATCCCATAACAGTAGTTTTATATTAAAACGGGCCTTTANAAAGAGGAAATTTCAGCCAAAAAATGGGTCAAATCCGGCTGGGGATGGAGGAGGATGGTGATGGGAGGTGAGATCAACTGAAAAGGTGCAGCAAGAATGCTGGCAACGGCGGTAGCTTTGACGAAGAAAGGTGGAAGATGAAGAGGAGGGAAGAAATGTGAGTTTTAATTGAATAAGAAAGCGATAAAATGACATGATTACCCTTTATTTGTTTTTGAATTTACTATTTTAACCTTATTCAGTTAAATTTAACAACAAATATTAACGGAAGGTTGGTGTTTATCATTTCCAAACTTTGAGGATACCAATTTGTCTTTACGGTAAACCATGGGTGGGTGCATGTCGTTTGGCCTTAATTTTATAGGATAAAGCTGTCCACCTAATCGAACTTTTTTCCCTTTTCTATGTAGGATTTTAAAATTAATGGGTTGGTAAACACAAGATGTCACCATAAACAAATCCCATCTCAATAAATTTATATTAAAGCAAGTTTTTAAATATGCATCTATGCTATTGAAAAGCACTTTCATTAGCTTTACCATCAACTTTAATTTGTCCCATCTCATCATTTTGCTGCTTCAACCATTAAACGTAGTACATAGGTTTGACCAACATGCATTCACATTTACTAAAATAAATAATATATTAGTAATATAAAATGTTAGCATAAATGACAGCTTTAAAAGCAATATTTTTATTGTTTTGTGACGTAGTCTTTTAGTAAAGGACTTTTACTTAAAGCTCGAAACTAAATTCATCCGGGTCTAGACTTTGAGGAGATACTATTTATTTGGAATATTACAATATATATATATATATATATATATACACTATAGTATATTAAAAATTTAAAATAGAATAAAATATTTATTTAAAGTTGTTTGAGTTAATGATTTATATTTTAGAGTTATTACGACACCTTTTAACTTGCAGGAATGTAATAATTCGCTAGTATGTATACCTTTTTGTTGAAACCAAAATATTTATGCCTTCTCAAGTATGTTTAGAATTTCATGGCACAAAACTTTTTATATTTCTATACTATCATTTTCATGATTATTTTATTTCTCTTCTTATTTAAGTGTAGCAATGCTTTTTTTCTTCAGTTAAAACATATATGACTTGTCACTCATTTGGATGATCGAAGAAGACATTAATACGTATTCGGTTAGTATAGTTAAGTTATCGAATCTAATCACTCAATTCTAAAATGACTCATTTTATTCTCCACGTCCATTTTCTTTGTAACTTGCAATTAATCGACATCGAAAGTCTTAATTTTGCAGTACTTAAAACAGTGGATAATTGTCTGTGGCTCACATTAATTGACCATACAGTAACTGCATTTACAATTTCATCAATAATATTTATCGTTTTTTGTTCTAATACAAGATCTTCTATCCGTTTAAGAAATAAATGATTAAAACGCTAATGATAATAACCTTTGAAATTTCTAATAATGCTTGCATCACACACCTGAATTTTGGAAATGCTAGCTTGTGGTAGGAACAGAACAGATGCATAATACTAATAATAATACCAATACTACTAAAATAGTGAATTAAAATCCTAATACATACTAATAAAACGTAAATTATAAATTATAAAATAAAAAAATTAATTTTTATAACTACACTTGTATTAAGTTATACCGTTTATAGTAATAAATTAATTTGATTTTCCCATGTTATGATTAGAATTTAGAAAGTTTATATATAAAATTACCCATTTTTCGTCCAAATCTGTTAGTAAAACCCTTTTAACGAAAACCAAAAGATAAACTTCAATATTCATCGTTAATTTTAAATTAATCCATAAACCCCTAATTTTTTTTAACCCTATTTCTTTTGTACCTTTTTCTCTTCTCTCTTTGCATCTCATCTATTCTACGCCTCTTCTCTCTCTGATCTTTCTTCTTTCTTCTCTCCCTTCTCTTTCTTTCCTTTCTTCTCCCTCTTTTCCCTTTAGTCACTAGGCAAGAAGCCGGCATCGGAATATGAACTGGGAGGGTGAGGGCTGACGGAAACCGCTTCGGCGCAACAGGGAGGGGGTTGGGAGGGTGGAGGCTGTAGTTGGGTGCCGAAAAATTGGCGAAAACCACTAGCAGTAGCGCCCACTGTAGCCAGTTGAGAGAAAATCGGCTCCAAAAGTTTTTTCTTCTTCAGTTTTTAATTTTTAATTTTTTTTTTCAAATTTTTATAATTTTTTACAGTTTGGTTGGAAGTGTTTGAAATTTGTGGTGGTTTGTGGCGGTGGTGATGGTGATGGTTGTATTTGGTGGTTCTAGTGGCGAGTTTAGAGTTGGTGGAGGTTCAGGCGTGGGAATCGCCCACGACCAAGACAAGAGCGATTTCATTTTTCTTTTTCATAGGTTTCAACAATGGGTTTTATGGGTTTGATTTTTAAATTTTTTTTTCTTACTGTCATTGTTTAGTTGAGATTTAAGATGATTTTGATTATAGAGTTGAGATGGATGATGAATTTTGAATGTGGTGTTAAGATGAGGATGAATTTCAATTATGTTTGCATTTATAGGAGGTGATTTTTCTACCGAATCTGGATGAATTTGGTTAGAGTTTGACTTAATGGGTGTTGATAGTTTATGCAAATCGTGGTTGAATGAAAGATTGCAGTACTCATTCACTGTAATAGTTCATGAGCATCCCCTTAAGCATATGTAAAAGAGCTGCGATACGGATTTGACCGCACTGCTCCTTCATCTGCAACTTTCACTTCATGTACAATCTTGTTTATAAGATTTTTGTGAAATCTGTTTTGTAAAACTTCATTAAATTTTTTTGCGTGATTAAGTTTAACTTTTTTATTAATTGAACTTGTTTTAATAACGGTGGATTTATGGATTAATTTAAAACTAATTATTTTTAGCTTGGATAGAAAACTATGGGTGGGTGCAGTCATTCAGCCATATATATATATATATGAGGTGTCATTTTATCCTTAAGTCCAGTGTACAATTTTAACCTTCAGGTTGGTGTACGCTTTTTGTAAATCATGTGCAAGGTGTTGAAATTTTTTTATTTTTTTATTTTTTATGAAACAATCTTAAAAGAGTTATTGAAGAAAATTTAATCAATGGGTTGGTACACACAAGATGTCGCCATAAACAGAATCCCATAACAGTAGTTTTATATTAAAACGGGCCTTTAAAATAGCATATATGCCAATTCGTTTGATTATAAGACTTCACTATTTTAAAAAGATTAGCTTCACCAACATACAAATGCATTAACCATCATTGGATGACCTGATGGTAAAAGACCTGATAGTAAAAGAGTAAAGGAAGATTTAATATAATCTTTTAAGTTCAAGTCCCTTCGATGGTGAAAGAGTAAGAAAAGGATTTAGCATGGTTTCTCGAGTTTGAGTCCCACAACCCCTAATAGAGGTGACCATTGAAAGAAAAAAACATGCATATTGCATTCATATTTGTGCTAGCTATAGGAAGTCATAAAATTCATTGCAAAATTTTATGTTTCAATTTTATAAATTGTATATGTTGCGGTGTTATCTTCCCCAAAATTATGAAAATGCATCTTTGAATTGTGCCTACAAACAATTCTATTTTGGTTTCACATCTTTGCTTCGTTTGATTTCTATTTTGCCTACAAACATCGGTGTCGGTACAACAATATATATTGTGACACGGGGAATTTCTCCACTAATAGCACTTATGAAAAGAACAGGAACCTGATTCTTTAATCTCTTGCTAGTTGCTTCCAATGTCACTCTTCATGAAGGGCTTTTTTACACTGCGAAGTATCGGCGAAGAGCCTAACAAAGTTTATGCTCTTTTGAATTGTGGAGGAGATTCTTCTGCACAACAGTTTTCAGTCAAAATGGGTTAAATTGTAAGTTTTTAGTTCTTAAAAAGCTATACAATTTCAGGGTAGGCTTCCGGACGGACAAGAGATAGCTGTGAAGAGACTGTCCAGAGATTCTGGACGAGGAGAAGTGGAGTTTGAAAATGAAGTCCTTTTTGTAGCCAAGCTTCAACATAGGAATTTGGTTAGGCTTCTGGGTTCCTGTTAATTTGAAAGGAAATGAAAGACTCCTCATCCATGAGCTTGTGCTAAATTCAAGTCTAGATAACTTCATATATGGTATGGTTAATTTTATTGCTTTTCTGCTTTGAATTCTAACATCTTGTAGCTTGGTCATGACTGGAAATTGTATAATCTACTTACAATCTACGGCTTTGTGAATTTGCAGATACGTTTAAGTGTTTACTATTGGATTGAGAGATTTGATACAAAATCATTGGAGGTATAACACAAGGATTTCTTTATCTTCATGAAGTTTCTAATAATATTCTTTCAGATGTCTACATGGGTCCAAAATTTTTAGATTTTGGAATGACAAAGGTGTTCAAATGGATCAAACTCACGGTCATACAAGTACAATCATTCGGACCTTCTAAGTACATATACAAACATTACAAACTCAGACCTCATAAAACAAAATCTAATCCATTAATGGCAACTTCCAATGGGTATATGGCTCCAAAGTATCGAAAACACGGACAATTCTCAATCATATCTGATGTTTTCAGCTTTGGCGTGTTACTCTTGGAAATCATTGGTGGTAAAAAAAACAGTTATAATGAAGAGCAAGCACAAGATCTGTTATCCTATGTAAGTAAACACGAGTCGTTATCAATATCTTTTTCATCTCTTCTTCTTGGTTAATCTCACAATCAATGACCATATAATCTTTGTCAAATTTTTGCAGGCATGGAGAAATTGGAATGAAGGGAAGCTTTGAATCTGATGGATCCCATCTGAGAGTCGGTTCCAGCAGTGAAATGATAAGTTGTATCCACATCGGGTTGTTTTGTGTTCAAGAAAATGTAGCGAACAGACCTACAATGGCTTCCATTGTTCTTATGCTCACTAGCTGCTATCTATGTCTCCTAGTTCCCTCAAAATCTAAATTTTTTATGCAATCAAACTCGGAGATGGATGTTTCAGAATCACCAATGTTGGATCGCAAAGAAAATCATGTTCAGTTTTCGTTGAATGAGGCTTCAATGAAAATCAGGACGTCCACCATAAAAACAGATTGTACATAAAAAATGTCTTCAGAAAGAACATAACCAAAATCAGAGGTGTNAAATACTTTTCTTGAAACGATATTTGCCCTCACCAATTATGTGATATATTGAATGTTGAGAATATGTCTTGAGAATACAATGAAACACAACTTTTCAAATCTTATTGAATGTTTGAAAAGTTAAAGTCATTCTAAATTTTAATATCTTTAAGGCCAAACAAAGCAAAAGCGCTTGGAAAATTTAGGCATCTGGTTAAATTGGTTTCATACTACACATCCTAATTAACTTTATTTAAAATATTTCATTTTAGTTAAGTACTTGATGTATTGGCTTTGGGATATAAGCTTCTTTGATCGTGCTTATGAAAATTAACTTATAAACAGTTAGTGCTTATAAAATAATTTGAGCTTATAAGCATTTGAAATTTAAGCAGTTATGTGTTTCAAATAATAAATTATATTAACTCTTTTTTCTTTTTACTATAATATTATCAAAATATATTTTGATTATATTACAATATAATTTAATTTTAGAATTAAATAAACAAATACTATATAGACAAGTATTTTATTAAAAATTTGTATGAATAATTTTTAGATTCTTTATGTATAATAAACTAATGAACAAATATAATGAATTATAATTATATTCAAAAAAATAAAATTTCAATCAAAACAGGGAAGAAGATTTTTACAGTAAATAGCAATAGAAGCATGAGTTGTTTGAAATATAAAAATAAAATTATATGATGGAATTTTAAAATTAAATAAGGGTAATATGATAATACACTTGGTCAAAGTAATTTATAAGCAGAGTGCTTATAAAAAAAAAAGGTATAAATTCCTCAAATTTATTTATTTGGCTTATAAACCTAAAAAAATTATAAATAAACATATCAGTTTGATTTTAAAGTTTATAAACTAGTTTATAAGCTCAGAAAAAACACCCTAAAAGAATCTTTTCATCACTTACCACGTCAATGTGTTAAGAAAAAAAAATTTGGAATAGGACTTCAAACGTGTAATTTTAGAGTCAATGCCGCGTTCAATATTGTATTAGTTTTTAAAGGCATTAATGATTTCAGTAGGGTCATCAGCCCCCACTAGCCACTGCATGGCGCTGTCTTAGTTGGGATGCTCACCAGACACATGGGAGAGTCAAGTCAACCTCTTAATGCATGCTTTTTCTTTATAAATAGGACATCGAAATTGTATCAAAATAACAATCATGGCTTGTTCCATCTCTTTGTCTAAAATCATCCTTTCCGCCATTGTTATGCTCATCATCTCTGAAAAAATTACACCCCAGGAAACCACATATCGATACCACAAATGCACAGGAAAGTCATCAATTTGCGGTTGCACTTCCAATATTGCCTTCTCAACAAACCTCAATCAAACTCTCTCTTCACTAATCTCAAACGCCACCCTCAGCAATGGATTTTACAACACCAGCACCGGCGGCCTGCTGGACGGCTCCGATAAAGCCTATGGCCTGTTTCTTTGCAGAGGAGACATCGCTCCTGATTTATGCCAAAGTTGTGTCAAGGCCGCTAGTGAAAATATCATAACCCTTTGTCCAGAAGAGAAGGAAGCAATTATATGGTATGATGAGTGCATGTTAAGGTACTCAAACAGGACGATTTTCGCCGACATTGAAGAGGATCCTGGTTATTGTATGGCGAACATGAACAATGTTTCGAATGTGAATCAGTTTAAGGAGAGTTTGGATGGGTTGATGAATAGTTTGATCAAAGAGGCTGTGGGTTCTAGCAAATTTTTTGCCACAGAAGATGTGAATTTCACAACTTTTACTAGGCTATATGGTCTGGCGCAATGCACTCCTGACATTTTTTCATCTGAATGCAACATTTGCTTGGATGCCTGCGTTGGTGAGATTTCTGATTGCTGTTATGGGAAGGAAGGAGGTAGAGTATACAGGCCTGGTTGCAATATCAGGTTTGAAATTTATCCTTTCTACTCTCAACCACCTCCACCTCCGCCTCCACCTCCACCTTCAACTCTACCACCAGTACCACCACCTACCCCACCAGTACCCTCAACAAGTACAAGTGGTAAGCATTTGATTTTGCAATTTTTTTTTTTGGATTATCAGATTCATGTACATCAAACTAATGAGCAAGTTTCTGCATGTAATGTCCTGTATACCCACTTCCTCGTATGGGGCTTCGAGAGTTACGTTGTTCTTCACGTATTGTCTTGGGTTCGAATCAAGAGAGACGCGCTTTAAGTCGCACTAATTGAGCTGGATAAGAGAAAATTCCGAACCCCTCTATATGAGGTGAGTAGAACAATACGTAAAGAATATAACTCTTGGAGCCCACCAGAGGAAGTGGGCGTGAGATGTTACAGTGCATGTCAGATGCACTATTATGAATCTAGGTCATTAATTAAATGCATATAAATCTGATGAACGTTTGATTAATAATAAGAAGTAAATTGATCAGAATTTATTATTATTTACTAACCGTGAGGTTATAATATGAATTGCATAGTTANTTTTTTATATTTTTAATCTTTCTAAATTTATGCTTCTGCCCCTAGATTACAGGTAATCCCGCTAAACCCCTACCACATCAGCTTTTCTTTCAAATAAACCTCCAGATTTTGCCCCTTGTCACATGCAAACCCAGCAGCTTCCTTTTCTTGCAATTTCATTCCTAATAAAACTTTTAAAAACTAACAAAAATCCCCTTCCATAAAAATAAAATCACACAGAATACGCAATATGTATTAGGATTAAAAACGGGGTTGCACAATAATCCGATATGGATGCATCTAGTGACCTCATTTCGCTGAAAAGAATTGCCTAGAGCTTGATCCGTTAGCTCCAATGGTGTTCCATCACTCCAAAGTCTCCACGCCTGTGACAAACATTAGTTAATCCTCATAATTAACGGAATGCCACATTTACATCAGATAAAATTGATTTTGTGCTTACATAGCTCAAGAGGTCTTCGGAATAGTCTGATTGATAGAAAGAACTGTTCTTTTTGCCGCTTATGATCTCCAGTATTAAAACTCCGTAGCTGTACACATCAGACTTTACCGAAAAGTGTCCTTGTAATGCATATTCTGGGGCATATAACCACTAGAATGTAGCACCATCAGTACATCAATCTAGCATCCAAATTGCTAACAAGAATAATAGTTTGGTGTTAAATCTTACTATGTGCCAACAATTCTGCTTGTATTTCCTTGACTCTGGTCCATCCCACAAATCCTCGCTATGCCAAAATCTGCTATCTTAGGGTTCATGTCTTCATCGAGCAGAATGTTACTAGTTTTGAGATCACGATGTATGATTTTGTGTCTAGAAGCCCCGTGCAGATACAAGATTCCTCGTGCAATTCCTCCTATAATCTTGCAACGCATCGACCAATCCAATTGCCCTTCTACATACATCCATCAAAATAATACAACTTAACTGTGAGGTGAGACATTGAAATACTTATTATATGATATTGATCTAAAGGAAAAGGATCAAACCAAAAAGGAAGTAGTCGAGGCTTTTGTTGGGCACAAATTCATAGACAAGTAATTTCTCCTCTCTTCTGCACAAAATCCCAATAACCTCACTAAATTTCTATGTTGAAGCTTGGCTACCAATACAACCTCATTCCTAAATTCTTCTAATCCTTGACCTGAGCTTCTTGATAGCCTCTTAATAGCTACCATCTGTCCATTATGAAGTGCACCCTGAAGATATATAGACCATATATAATCAGTATTATAAGGCGATGCTAATTACTAGTTCAGTTGGTTGGATCTCTTGAGATAAAAAGGAAAAAGGGAAATTTTCTTACCTTGTACACACTGCCAAATCCACCCTCACCAATCTTGTTTCCTTCAGAGAAATTGATTGTTGCAGCTACAATGTATTGCAAGTCTAATTGTAAAGATTCCACCACTGAAATCTCGTTTCCAGCTGAACATTATACGAAAAGAAAAAGTAAAATATTTTAAGTTAGTTTTCGTTGGAATTATGATAAAACAAAAGCTTTAAATTCAGTTCTGTTATATATGATCACCATTTCCATGATCTTTTACAGCTTTGTACTTTCTTCTTTCTTTCCAACGTAGGACACAATAGCATGAAGTGGATAAAATTATTATGAAGGCAAGTGATGCTGGAACTGTAATTGCAATAATTGTTATGTGTCCTACGTTGGAAAGAAAGAACTGTGGCAGCCATAAAACTCAAATTTAGAATATTCTCTAGTTTAATTAATACCTTCTGTCTCCTGCTTTGTCTTCCTTCTTCGTAAAAGGACACAAGTGAAGGCAACAAGTGTTATAATAAAGATAAACACTATAGAAGAAACCGTTATCATAACAGTTCTAGATTTAATGCCTCCTCTGCCAGCATCCACAAATCAGAAAACAATATCTTTACCTCACGCAATCGAAACTAAACAGGAGAGGATCCTAATTCGAAACATACCTTTCAAGATTTTTGGCGGTGGAAGGGGAAGTGATGGTGAAGGAGCATCAAGAGTGGCATTATAGAAATGATTTAAATCCCAGATTTACATACAGCTAGGTTTCATAACAAGGCAACGTGACTTGCCATGGTAGTGAGCCTCATAGTAGGCTACAGATTGGAGTAGACAAGTGCCACAATCAGTCTGTGAAATATCAGGAGTACACTGCATGAGTGCATATATCTTCACAAAGTTCGTCAAATTTGCTTCTCCGGTTGCAAACTTACTTGTAGAAGCTTTTCTCAACAACTGATTCATCAAACTCTCCCAAGTCTGATCAAAATGAGTCATGTTCACCGTCATATTATTCTCACTGCTTCCCGCAGCCATAGGTTCCTCCTCCATTTCTCCGAAAATCAAGCGGTTCGAATAGCGTACAATGCATTGAGGACTCCCTCCCCAAGCAACTGCTTCTTTCTGGTTCAAACATGTATTCACAATATCTTTAGCTGCAGAACTTACACAATTAGCACACTGTTCTGCAGAAGAATCTCCTCTACAATTCACAAGAGCATAAACTTTGTCCGGCTCTTCGCCAATACTTGAAGTATAAAAAAAACCATCATGGAGAGTGACATTAGAAGCAAGAGATGAGAGAATCAGGTTCCTGTTCTTCTCATAGGTGCTATTACTTGTGAAATTCCCTGTGTCATAACATATAGTTGCTCTAGTAACACCAATGTTTATAAGCAAAATAGAAACCAAACAAAGCAAAGATATGGAACCCATCTGCATTTTCATAACTTTGTGGAAGAAGAAGCATAACCCACAATTTATTAAAGTGAAATATAGAATATTTTCCTTGAGCTACTCATGACTTCCTAGCACAAATGTGAATGCATTATTGATGTGGGTCAAGCTATGTACTATGTTTAGCTGTTTCATAAGGATTTTTGTTTTTCTCATTGGACCTATAGAGGAGCGTGATTCACCTGGTCTTCTGAAAATAGTGAAGTCTTCTAATCAAACTGATGAAGAGAGTTTTGGGGACAAAGTTGACCATGAAAGTGCATGGCAATGGCATATACACTTCAGGGCCGTTTGATTCAGGGAATGTTAGATTACTGAGAATATTGGATTACTGGAAAGTTAAATTACCTTGAAGATTATTGGAAATCTTTAGGAAAATGTGTTTGGTTAATTGGTGGGTATGTTATATTAATATGTTTGGTTGGGAGGAATAAATTGATGAGTATGTTATTTAAATTACTGAATTGTCCTCTAATTAAATATTATTATTATATTATTTTTTAATACTGATTATTATAACCCCCTTGATTTAAAAACTTAGCAAAAATGGTCCCATAATAAAAGTTTGAAAAATCAACAAAGAAACCCCACCAACCCAGCCACTGCCGGTAGTCGGTAACCTAACGGCGCACGAGAGGCAAGAAATGGCCTCCGTGCATCGTATGGCCATTTCCAGCTAGAGATCTGGCCGAAAATAGCCAAATGTGACAGATCTGGCCATCACGACCAAATCAATGACGAATCTGGCAGATCTGGCCATTTCCGGCCAAAAATGGCCATATTAAGGCACGACGACCATTTTTGGCCTTCCGTGCGCTATTCTGACGACGACGGTGGTTGCTGGTGGCAAGTGGGTGGGGTGGTGGCTTGGGTCGACATCAATTTGTTTTGAATTTAAGAGTAATTTTGTCCAAAAAGTTAATTAATTTTGGTTAAATAGTAAAAGTCATATTTATGTAAATAAATTTAAAAATAAGAGCATTATTGTCCTAAAATTTTATTAATAAGAGATAAGATTGTAACAAAAAAAGATAATCTTGGTAATCTTAAAATACCTAAAAAAAATTGAGGTAATCAATATTACCAATAGCGTATTTGAAGATTACCGGTATCTTATATTACTTGACAACCAAACATGATAATCAAGTAATATAAGATGACTTGACCTCAGTAATCTCACGTAACTTCCAACCAAACGCCCCTTAATGTCAAATTATTGCGATGGGATTTCTTTATGCCGACATCTTGTTGTCACCAACCCAACAACTAATAAAAGTTTCTACTAGGGGTGAGCGGTTCCGGGTACCTTGCACTTTTTTGGGGAACCGGAACCGGAACCGCACAGTACAGGTTCCCAAAAAAAGGAACCGGAACCGGAACCGCACAATACAGGTTCTTCAATTCAAGGAACCGGAACCTAAAATGCAGGTTCCGGTTCCTGTCCTGGGTATCCTATAAAAAATTAATTACCCCCTATTAGTTTAAAAAATAACAAAAACACCTTATAAGTTTACAAATACACCCCTAACAAATTTTCGTTATTCATTTATTTGTGTCCAATGTAACTCATAACCTGTAATCTCTAAGCAACGCTTGAATTCAATCAATTCATCACAATTCACATAAAATTCGTCAATCAAAACCAAAACACAAACAATTATTCTCACAATTCACATAAAATAACTTCACTAAAATCATTTAAACAAACAACAATTCTTAATACTAATTACTAACATTGCCATTTGCCTGGGGTCTATTTGTAAGTTATAAATTATAATGTTTATAAATTATTAATTTAATGTTATAATTGGTTAATTGGGTATTTATAATATACCAATATAATTTAGTAAATTTAATATTAAAAACAAGTAATGTTATAATTAAATAAGTGATCATACTACATGTAAATTGTAATGTTATAATTAATTGTGTCATACTACAATGTAAATTGTAATGTTTATAATTAATTAAGTAATTATTTTTAATTATAATGTAATATATAATTAATAAATTAATTGTTAATCATTTAATTAAGTATTATAATATTGTTTTAATAGAATGTTATAATTAATTAAATAATCTACCATAAATTTATAATATAATGTTATAATTCATAAAATTATAATAATTCGATTAATATTGTGCAAATTAAATTACTAATGTTTATAATATAATGTCATAATCAATTAAGTAATCATTTAATTATGTAAGTTATATTAATTATTGATCATACTATAATAGTATAATGTAATGTTATAATGAATTAAGTAATCATACTACAAATCTATATTTAATATTTAATTAATTAAATTTCAAATCATTTAATTAATATACTAATGTTTATAATGGAATGTTTATATTGATTAAGTAATCATATTACAATTAATAAGTAATGTTATATAATTAAATTTTTAATCGTTTAATTAAGTATGTAATAGTATAGTAATACTAATGTTTATAATGTAATGTTATAAATTCTAACTAATTAAGTAATTATGTAATCTTTAACTATATAATGCTATAATTAGTTAGTGATTATAATATAATGTAATATAATAATATATAATTTAATTGAGTAATTATTTAACTATAATGTAATGTTTAATTAATATTTATAAGGTATGTTTATTACTTAAATTTCTTATCATTTAATTAAGTATTGTGCTAATGTTTATGTAGTATTAGTAATTACTAATGTTTAAATATAATTCATAACTCATAATCAATCAAGTAATTATTTAATTATGTAATGTTATATTAATTATATGATCATACTATAATAGATAATGTAATGTTATATGAATTAAATATCATACTAAATCTATAATTTAATATTATAATTAATTATTTCAAATCATTTGATTAATATACAATGTTTATAATAGAATGTTATAATTGATTAAGTAATTATATTATAAATAATAAGGTAGTGTTATAATTAATTAAATTTTTAATCGTTTAATTAAGTAATGTAATATATAGTAAATTAGTAAATTACTAATGTTTATAAGCAATGTTATAAATTAAAAACTAATTATGTAATTATGTAATCATTTAACTATGTAATGCTATAATTAAGTAAGTGATCATAATATATAATGTAATATAATAATATTATAATTTAATTGAGTAATTATTTAACTATAATGTAATGTTTTTAATGTTTATAATGAAATGTTTATAAGGTAATGTTATAATTAATTAAATTTCTTATCATTTATTAGTTTGTGCTAATGTTTAGTAGCAAATTGGTAATTACTAATGTTTAAAACATAATATCTAACACATAATCATTAAATAATTATTTAATTATGTAATGTTATAATTATTATATAATCATACTATAATGTAATGTTATAGTGAATTAACTATTAATAATCATACTATAATTTTAATGTATTATTATAATTAATTAAATTTTTAATCATTTAATTAAGTTTGTACTAATGTTATAAAAAAGTCAATTAATTGTAGTAATCAATTAATGTAATGCTATATTAATTATACTATATCAATTAAGTATGTTATAAAATTATAATTAATAGTAATCATTTAACTATAATAATGTTATAATTGATTAGTATGATATTTAACTAGTAATTAATTATTAATGTTTACAATTTACATATATAATTATAATTACTAATTTATTATAGATATACTTAGAACTTGATAATTGAAGTAAATAACTAAATATATTATTACTCAATCAAATATACTATTTATTCAAAATAATTCTTTTAATAACATTAAAAATGTAAAACACTTTTAATTGGTCATAATTCCAATTATTCACTTAATTATCAAACTTTAATATTAAGGTATTATATATTTAAAGCTTTTAATATAGTGTAATCTATTGTAATAAGTATAATTGTATTCGTATATTTATTTAATTAGGTTATTTTAAAAATTTAACTTTTTCTATTTTAAATTTTTTTATATGTAAAATAATAGAAACTCCCCCATTATTTACATTTCACAAATATTTCATTATAGTTCAGGTTCCAAAATAGGTTCTAAACAGGTTCCAAAAACAGGTTCCAATATAGGTTCCAAAACAGGTTCCAAACAGGTTCCAAAACAGGTTCCAAACAGGTTCCAAAATAGGTTCCAAACAGGTTCCAAAACAGGTTCCAAACAAGTTCCAAAACAGGTTCCAAAACAGGTTCCAAAACAGGTTCCAAACAGGTTCTAAAACAGGTTCCAAACAGGTTCCAAAACAGGTTCTAAAACAGGTTCCAAACAGGTTTCAAAACAGGTTCCAAACAGGTTCCAAATAGGGTACCCCCTACAGGTTCCAAACAGGGTACCCTTTTTACAGGTTCCGGTTCCGGTTCCTCCGGGGGTAAGAACCGGAACCGGAACCGGAACCGCACAGTAGCGGTTCCAAAAAATTGGAACCGGAACCTACCCGCACAGTGCAGGTTCTGGGTAGGTTCCGGTTCTGGTTCCGGTTCTGGTTCCGGTTCTTACCCCCGGTTCTTACCTCCGGTTCCGGTTCTACCCGCTACCCGTGCTCACCCCTAGTTTCTACAATAACTCTTTTATAATGAAACGTGCAACACACCTGATGTATATATTATTATATAAGATTTTACTAGAGAAAACTTTGTTACAATTTTTTTTTTTTTTTTTTTTTTTGAGGTTAATTTGGTTAATTTAGAGTATTGTCTCAATTTGGCATACAGTTTTTATACATTAGGTATGATTTTTTCGGTGAAGGATGCCTTCTTGAAGTCAAAAAGCAAGTACTTGGAGGCCTAACCTAGAGTAATTAAATAATATTTTTTTTAAGTTATAATTTATGCTAACATTTCATATGACTAATATATTAAATATTTTTTATATTCAAAATTAGAAAAATTGTTTACATTACAAAAAAATTAAAAGAAGTTTTTATCGTCTGACAACTTTTTGAAACACTTCAATAGATTTTTTATCTTATTAAAGACATTTTTGTTTTATTAAAGATGGTTTAGAAATTAAAACCATCCTTAATAACTTTTTCTTTTCTAATCATGACTAGATATCGTATAGTAAAAACCGGAGGGTAGTTTATGAAATTAGCTCAATATTATATATTGGTATAGGGCTACTCATTTTTATGGCTTTCTAATACAAATGTGATCTTCTCCTTGTGGTCGGATGACAAACTATTTAGCTACTAGGGTTAACTATACCCAAAGGTTTTGTGTTCGAGTCGTAGGAGAGACACTTACAATATTTGTGTAATTACATTGGTCCATTAGGCTTTTAGGGTGTTTCTGACCTTGAGGATTAGGCGGGCTTGACTGACAATTGTGTCCGGGATACCTCAGTTACTAAAAAACAAAAAATACAAATGTGAATGCATGTTTGTAATGACTGCTTTATACTATAGAAATATATCAAGTAGAATATATTGATATTAGCAAAAGTAAATGGGACCAAAATTTTCTTGTATTACATATAAACTTTATTTATACAAAACAGAGTATCATTTATAAAATGATATTAAAACAGCGGACAGTGTAGTTATTGCTCTTCGTTTGCCGACGCCCATCCAACCGCGTTCTCACCTAGAACCTGCAACCACAAAGAAAACAACTGGGTGAGCACAAAATAATGCTCAGTAAGTAAATCTTCTACTCGACTGACCTCGTAACTCTCTCTAATTCTTTCCTTACAATTTTCATCTTTCACACAGCTTTCTTTACTTAACTTCTGCTATATGTCACGGCCTTATCTTACCGGAGGCACAGTTGGGTGGAGTTCACACAGCACCATCCCACTCTTCGTGACTTTGGGGTGGAGATCACAAAGCACCAACCCGTTTTTCATAACTATCGGGTGGAGATCACAAAGCACCAACCCATTCTTAGTATTCTTCTCATTCTCTCTACTCGTTCATTCACACAGTTCTCTACTCTTTCTCAAGCTAGCATTCATAGTGGAGCTTAATGCTTAGAGTAGTTTATTCACAAAGTTCTCTACTCTTTCTCAAGCTACTTCTCAAATGTACAATTAATACATATGGATGGTTCATGTTCATTAATGCACTTGGGAAATGCCAATATGAAATGTTGCAAGAATTAAGGTTCACAACTCATGCTCATACTTCTCTTAGGCATTTCATCAAACAACTAGTGTGCATACATACACTCTACTTTATCTATAATTCTATCCCTCTCTTAAACCATCCAAAATGGGAGAAAGCTCCCTCACCAAGCTATAATTCCTGCCATAACATAACACTTCCAAAGAGATTTCTCAATCTCCTCCAATTTCATCTCAAACTACATTCTCATCACACATCACACTTCTCAATTGAAGTGTATTCAACAACCACAAAATAAATACTCATCTCAATCCAAGTTCTCACTAACATAACATACACATGCATATATAAATCTCTACTTAATCCCTACTCAAAATTTTTTTCAATTTTTATTTTGGTTGGATTTACTTACCTTGTGATGGTGTGATTCCACTAACACTTCTCTTGTCCTTTGGTGGATGTCTCTTCTCTACACCTTTAAATAATAACACATCAAGACCTCAACACTTTTATAGGTAAATTTCACATCTAGAACAAGGATTCTTACCTTAGGATGCCTTAGATCAAATCTCTACCTAGATCCAACTAAAAACCCTAAAAAATCCTTGAAGGCTTGAAGGAAGAATTGAGAGGAAATGGAGAATGGAAGAGGCGGTAGAAGAAGAGTGAATGAAGGGTTTACTAAACTTAACCCCTTTTTAGCTCAAATTATCTTCATTCATTCCCATTTTACCCTTACTCTTTCTTAGGAATTTCACTTTTGCCCTTTGAATTCTTTGCAAATGCAACCCCATTTAAACTATTTTCCATGTAATTTCCTTTCATTTCACTCCCCACTTTTCCTGCTAATTAGGGGTAGAATGGTCATTGAGCCCCAAAGGAAGAATTCTCTAGAAACTCACTACACATTTTGTCAAGCCCTTCGCCGCGGCGAAGAATGTTTCTTCGCCCCGGCGAAAACTTACAGAACCTACACCGTAGGTTACAGGACTTCGTTGCCGCGGCGAAGCTTCTTCTTCGCCCTAGCGAAGTCTGTAACACAAAAATTCGTCAAGTCTTTACAAATTTCAGGGCAACCACTCAACCAACTCACAATAGTCATTCAACCAAGGCCCAACCAAACAATAAACCATCTCAAATAAGAGCAAAACAATAAACATTAGCTACGTACCTCAAGTGGGGTGTTACAATGTTGGTCAAAGCTATGTATTATGTTTAATTTTTTAATCATTTTTGTGTTTTCTCATTGGACCTAATGGAGCAAGCTTCAATTAATCTTCTAGAGGTAGTGAAATCTTCTTATCAAACATCAACAAAGTGATGAGAAGGGACAAATTAAGCTAGTGAAATCTCTAGACACACAGCTATGTCCTGTCCATCAGGAAGCCTACCCTGATAGCCTTCAAGAAATTAAAAACTTACAATTTAACTCATTTTGAAGACAATTAATATGCATTTTCGGTTAATGAACACTTAATACAATATTACCTTGTAAACAATGCCAAATCCACCTTGTCCCAGCTTATTATCATTTGAGAAGTCATTTGTTGTAGCTCATTGTGCTGAAGTCGAATTGCAAGGACTACACATCGTCAATTTCATCACCAACTTCAAAATCACAATAACAAGTTAGCTATATATAGCAGAGATAACTGTGGCAGCCATAAAACTCAAATTTAGAATCTCTAGTTTAATTAATACCTTCTGTCTCCTGCTTTGTCTTCCTCCTTCGTAAAAGCACACAAGTGAAGGCAACAAGTGTTATAATAAAGATAACCACTATAGAAGAAACAATTATCATAACAGTTCTAGATGTAATGCCTCCTCTGCCTGCATCCACTAATCAGATAATAATATCTTTACCACACGCGATCGAAACAAAAAAGCAGAGCTCGTATCAGTAGAGGATCCTAATTCGAAACATAACTTTCGAAATTTTTCGCGGTGGAAGGGGAAGTGATGGTGAAGGAGCATCAAGAGTGGCATTATAGAAACGATTTAAATCCCACATATACATACAGCTAGGTTTGATAACAAGGCAACGTGACTTGCCATGGTAGTGAGCCTCATAGTAGGCTACAGATTGGAGTAGACAAGTACCACAATCAGTCTGTGAAATATCAGGAGTACACTGCATGAGTGCATATATCTTCACAAAGTTCGTCAAATTTGCTTCTCCGGTTGCAAACTTACATGTAGAAGCTTTTCTCAACAACTGATTCATCAAACTCTCCCAAGTCTGATCAAAATGAGTCATGTTCACCGCCATATTATTCTCATGCTTCCAGCACCCATAGGTTCCTCCTCCATTTCTCCGAAAATCAAGAGGTTCGAATAGCGTACAATGCATTGAGGACTCCCTCCCCAAGCAACTGCTTCTTTCTGGTCCAAACATGTATTCACAATATCTTTAGCTGCAGAACTTACACAATTAGCACACTGCTCTGCAGAAGAATCTCCTCTACAATGCACAAGAGCATAAACTTTGCCAGGCTCCAGGCCAATACTTGCATTATGAAAAAACCCTTCACGTAGAGTGACATTAGAAGCAAGAGATGAGAGGATCAGATTCCTATTCTTCTCATAAGTGCTATTACTTGTGAAATCCCCCGATTGGTAACATATAGTTGCTCTAGTAACACCAATGTTTATAATAAGCATAAAAGAAACCAAACAAATCGAACGTTTAAAACCCTTTGCAGGGTTATGCATTCTCATGAGCTTGGGGAAGAATGAAGAAAGAGAACACCACCCTTTCACAATAAAAACAAATAAGCTAAGAGATAGAATGCAGAGTGGACTAGTCAAATTGCGGACTCAGACTTTGAAATCCATGGTTTGAAATCAAAGGATGTTCACACACGGAGCTTTTGAAAATCAAAGCCAGTGGGCTGTTGTGAACAATGATGAGTGATTGAAACGTCAAAGAAAGGATAGTGTAAGGTAAAAAAGCATCAATTTATACATAAAATCAAATTTTCTTATTCCTTTTTAACATTGATTCACATATAAAAATTTTCCAGATGGTCAATAAACAAAACTTTCTTCATTCCAATTTTTTTTACCCGTGTGGATTAACACTAAAAAGGACAAATTCTTGCTGTCTTCGATGTGAGAAAATAGTGGACTATTGTGTGTTTAGGAAGATCCAATCTGATTTCAATAACGTTTGTTCTCAAGACATTTTATACATACAAACAATCTATTTTTCCTGCAGACATCCTGATTTTTCAAAATCTGAACTTTACCTCTCGCTACCGTTAAAGGACAAAATCTCATGAACTATCAACTTTTACATCAAGACATGAGAGTTGAAAACATGTTAACGACCTTCTAGCTCGGTAATTGAAACCTCATTCAACGAAGGTTGAACATAATTCCCATTATGATCCAACATAGGTGATTCCGAATCATATTCCTTCGAGTTAGATTGCATAAAAAATGCAGGTTTTGAGGGAACTGGGAGAGACATAGAGCAGCTGGTGAGCATTAGAACAACTGAAGCCATTGTAGGTCTATTGGCTACATTTTCTTGAACACAAAGCAACCCAATGCGAATTCATCTCATCATTTCACTGCTTGAACCAACTCTTAGATTAGGATCTATCAGATTCAAAGCCGTCCCTTCATTCCAATTTCTCCATGCCTGCAAAAATTCAACACAGATTCCATGGTTATTGATATTGAATTTAACCAGGAAGAAGAAATGAAAAAAAATATATATAATCAATAACTCGTATTTACTTACAAAGGTTAATAGATCTTCTACTTGTTCTCCATCATGAAAAGAACTATTTTTTTGACCACAGATGATTTCCAGGACTAATACACCAAAGCTAAAAACATCGGACTTGACTGAGAATTGTCCATGCTTTAGATACTCTGGAGCCATATACCCACTGAAAACGCCATTAATGGGTTAGATTTTGTTTAGTAAGGTCTAAGTTTGTAATGCTTATATATATGTATACTTACAAGGTCCCGACGACTCTACTTGTATCGCCATGAGTTTGATCGATTTCAAACAATTTCGCCATTCCAAAATCTGAAATTTTCGGAGCCATGTCGACATCTAGAAGAATATTACTAGCTTTTAGATCACGATGAATGACTCGAAACCTGGAATCTTCATGAAGTTAAAGAAGTCCTCGGGCTATGCCCCCTATGATTTTGTATCGAGTCTCCCAATCCAATAATAAACGCTTTATTGGATCTGCAAATCCACAAAGACATAGATTGTAGACAGATTGTAAAATATTGTAGTCCTGAAAAAGCTACAAGCTGAATGTCAGAAGTCAAAGCAAAAGAGCAGTGAAACCATACCAAATATAAAGTTATCTAGACTTGAATTGGGCACAAGCTCATAGATGAGAAGCCTTTCATTTCCTTCCAAACAGAAACCTAGAAGTCTAACCAAGTTCCTATGTTGAAGCTTGGCCACTAAGAGGACCTCATTTTTAAATTCTAATTCTCCTTGTCCTGATTCCTTAGACAGCCTCTTCACAGCTATGTCCTGTCCATCAGGAAGCCTACCCTGAAATTATATAGCTTCAATGAATTAAAAACTTACAATTTAACCCATTTTGACTGACAATTTGATATGCATTTTGGTTAATGAACACTACCTTGTAAACAACACCAAATCCCCCTTGTCCTAGCTTTGTATCATTTGAGAAGTTATTTGTTGCAGCTCTGATAGTACCGAAGTCGAATTGCAAGGATTCCACATTATCAACATCTAAACAATAATAGCAACAAGTTAGAACTCCAAAAACAGAAAAAAAGAAAAAATTTGCTGGTCTTATAGCAGAGGAAATTGCAGATACCTTCTGTCTCCTGCTTATTTATGATCTCCTGCTTTGTCTTTCTCCTTTGTCTAACAAGGACACAAGTGAACACAACAAGTGCTATAATGATAACAACTACAGAAGAAACAATGATTATAGCAGTTCTAGATGTAATGCCTCCTTTGCCTGCATCCACAAATCAGAAAATATGTGTAAATATATAGTCAAATATTTAATTATATCTCCTGATCTGATCTCTTTCCTGAGCAAACATAAGGACTAGATTGATCGTTAAAAGGAAAAAATCTTGACCACACGTGAATGGAAAATAAGGATTCCTAATATCACTCATTGATCAATCAAAAAAAGATTCAAACAACTAAAAGAAAGATTTATTATTCGGGATCCTTCCTATCTTTGAATAAAACAAAACAAAGATAAAATTAGACCAATTCTCTCAAATGCCTTTATGGATATTTCTTAATGTCCTGGCTATTCAGGAAATGTGAAAAATATTTAAATAAGTATCTACATTCGGAAAAAATTAAAGAATTTAATTCTTAGGAATCCTACAAGATCCATTCATTTTTTTGTCTCTGACAGATGGTAAGAACTTCATCTGAGTTCGAATCCTACCGAGAGATTCGCTAAAGATTAGAAATTTCTTGAAGAAAGAAGAAGATGTTGCCTTTGTAAAGTTCATATCAGGAAAGGATCTTGAAACATACCTTTTGCAATAACTAGCCGCGGAGAAGGAAGCGACGGCGGCGGCTGAGAAGATGTAGGAACAAGAGTGGCGTTATAGAAACGATCGAATTCCCAGATATACATACAACTAGGTCTCATAATAAGGCAGCCAGGCTTCCCATGGTAGTGACTCTCATAGAAACCCACAGATTGACCAAGACAATCCTCACAATCACTCTGTGAAATATCTGGAGTACACTGCATGAGTGCATAAATCTTCACAAAGCTTGTCACACTTTCCTCCCCAATTGCAAACTTACTTGTAGAATTATTAGCCCCAGCTGCAGCTTCTCTCAACAACCGGTTCATCAAATTCTCCCAACTCTGATCAAACTGTGTCATGTTTACGGTCATATTATTCTCATAACTGCCCCCAGCCATAGGATCCGCAGCCATTTTGCCAAAAAAAGAGCGGTTTGAATAGCGCACAATGCATTGAGGACTCCCTCCCCATGCCACTGCTTCTTTCTGGTTCAAACATGTCTTCACAATATCTTTAGCTGCAGAACTAACACAACTAGCACACTGTTCTGCAGAAGAATCTCCTCTACAATTCACAAGAGCATAAACTATGTCCGGCTCTTCGCCAATACTTGAAGTATAAAAGAAACCATCATGGAGAGTGACATTAGAAGCAAGAGATGAGAGAATCAGATTCCTGTTCTTCTCATAGGTGCTATTACTCGTGAAATTCCCTGTGTCATAACATATAGTTGCTCTAGTAACACCAGTGTTTATAAGCAAAATAGAAACCAAACAAAGCAAAGATATGAAACCCATCTGCATTTTCAGGGCTGTGTGGAAGATGAACCATAACATACAGTTTATTAAAGTGAAATATATAATATTTTCCTTGAGCAACTTATGACTTCCTAGTACAGATGTGAATGCATTATGGATGTGGGTCAAGCTATGTAACATGTTTAGCTTTTTTATAAGCATTTTTGTTTTTCTCATTGGACCTATAGTGGAGCGTGATTCACTTAGTCTTCTGAAAATAGTGAAGTCTTCTAATTAAACAAACTGATTATGGGGATGATGATGAAGAGAGTTTTGGGGACACAGTTGACAGTGAAAGTACATGGCAATGGCATATATGCTTTTATTGCTTTTTTAAAATTATTGTGATGGGATATCTTTATGTAGACTTACTTTAATATAAAATTATTGTGATGGGATTTCCTTCTGCCGATATCTTCTTGTCACCAACCCAACGACTAGAAGTTTCTATAATGACTTTTATAAAGCAACGTGCAACACGCCTGAACCTGAAGTATATATTATTACATAGATTTTACTAGAGATAACTTTGTTATAATTTTTTTTTTAGTATGGTCTTCAATTTGGTATACAGTTTTTATATATTGGGTATGATTTCTTCAGTAAAGCATGCTTGCTTGAAATCCCAAAGCAAGTACGTAGAGGCCTAAGCCTAGAGTAAATAATAAAAATATTTTTTTAAAGTTATAATTTATGCTAACATTTTATATGACTAATATATTAATTATTTTTTATATTCAAAATTTGAAAAATTGTTTACATTACAAAAGAATTAAAAGAAAACGGTTTTAATTGTCTTACAACTTTTTAAAACACTTCAATAGATTTTTCATCTTATTAAAGACGTTGTTGTTTCATTACAGATGATTTAAAACCATCCTTAATAATTTTTTTTTTTCTAGTCGTGACTAGATATTGTACTTAAAAACCGGAGGGTGGTTTATGAAATTAGCTCAACATTATATATTGATATAGACTATAGAGCTACTCATTTTTATGACTTCCTAATACATATGTAACCTCCCCTTGTGGTTGAATGGTAAGCTCTTTAGCAATTAAGGTTAGTTATATCTAGAAGTCTTGTATTTGAATCGTAAAAAAGGTACTTACCACATTTATGTAATTACTTTGGTCTATTAGGCTTGTAAGGTATTCCGTGACCCTTTAAAAAACAAAAAATACAAATGTGAATCCATGTTTGTCAAAGCTATTTGTTTAATCATTTTTGTGTTTTTTCATTGGACTTGAATGGAACAGGCTTCCATTAATCTTCTAAAAGTATTGAAGTCTTCTCATCAAACATTAAGAAAGTGATGAGATGGGCCAAATTAAGTTGATGGTAGAGCTAATGAAAGTGCTTGGCAATGACATATATGCATATTTAAAGACTTGCTTTATCATAAGTTTAATTAGGTGGACAGCTGGATCCTATAAAGTTAAACATTTTTTTTTCTTGAGTGGGTTGGTGTATACTATGTACTCACCAAAATTCATTTTCACAGCCCCTATTTTTATGAAAATATATATTACTAAATTGTCTTAAATGAAATAAACTAAAAGAAAACAAAATAAGTGAATAAAAGTTAAGGCATGCTTTAGGCTTAAGAAATTATGTAATTGTTCTTAATTATTAGATGAAATGATAACATCTCTCTAAATTTTCATTCTTAGATGATTTTTATATGAAAAGATTTCATGCATGGATCATGATTAGAGGTGGCCAGCCCACAAATTTTTTGGCACAGCCCACCATGGCACGACCTGAAAATTTTGTGCCGGCCCTGGCCCGTGGGCCATGTGGGCCGGGGATTTGGCATGTGGACCAACACAGCATAGCCCATGAATTAAAAAAAAAAAAAATGTAGCATTGAAATTCTGGGCCGGCCCACAAAGGTACAACACGACACAACCCTATTGGGCTTCAAGTTTTAGTTGTTTGGCAAGGCATGGCCTATGGCACGGTGGGCCGTGAAAATTTCGTCATGACCCACCACCACCTCTAAAGATAATGTTAGAGAGGGGAACACTTACAATTAGTGTTTCTATAACAATCTTTAAGTCAAAGCAAAGCATATATATATATGCTAGCTTAAAAGATACAAAATCAATCTTTAGGCATTATCGAAGGTCAAGCTCAGTAATTGAAACCCCATTCAATGAAAACGGGACATAATTTTTTTATCNTTTTTTTTTAAGAACTTTTATAAACCTCCCCCTTTTTCCCCACTCACTGAGTATTTTTAGCTCACCCCTTTTTAAATGTTTTTCCCCCCACTAGGACCTTCCGGAGATCGTGCCGAGCAGTGAGCCTCCGCTCAGGGTTGTGCCACGCGTTGACATCTTTTATGTCGGTCTTATATTTATGTCGCATTGTAAATCTGGACTTTTGTTTCAAGAACTCATGTTTTCCATGATGTATTTCCTTTTGTTTCATATTTTGGAATGTGTAGTATAAGTGGAAACCTGATACCAAAAGTTTCCCTAACTATTTTCTTTTGTAAAACAAAAGATGATGCATGTCTTTTTGAGATATTTGGAGATGGAAATACTATGATGTTTTTCAAGAAAAATATGTCTTTAAACAGGTTTCGCAGTTTTTCTACATGGCACGTCTCGGGTATCCGAGTCTTGTGGGAGCGCCCGGATCCTACGGGATGAGGAAATTCGGGACGGGTCGTGTCAAAATTAATCGTCAGGCGTTATCGAGGGTCAAACTCAGTTAATTGAAGCCTCATTCAATGAAAGGTGGACGTAATTTTTTGGTAGATCCAATGTTGGTGATTCAAATTTATCTGTTTTTGTGCTGGAGTGCATAAAAAAAAGTAGGTTTTGACGGTGTTGGGAGAGAGTTATTTTTTGCAGCTCTGATGGTGCTGAAGTCAAATTGCAAGGATTCCACATTATCAATTTCACAAGAACCTTAAAACATCAGAGTAAGAGATTAGAACTCAAAAAGAAAATTAGTTTCAGCTCATCTAGCAGAGTAAATTGTGGCAGCAGAAAGAGTATAAGTAACCTTCTGCCTCCTGCTCACTTCTGATCTCCTGCTTTGTCTTCCTCCCCTGTAAAAGGACACAAGTGAAGACAACAAGTGCTATAAAAATAACTACTACCGAAGAAACAATGATTATAACAATCCTAGATGTAAAGCCTTTTTTCTCTGCATGCCCAAACCAGAAAAATGTGTACATAGTCAACTCATGATGATACTGAAATCTATTGGAGTAATACAAAACTAAAGAACATGATTGTAACAATGATGATTCTTTGTATTCGAACTACAGAAGATACAAAAAGATTGACAAACTAACCACAGAAGTAGATGTAGCTTCCCATATAGACCAAGACCTGAGAGGGGCCATTCACTATGCAAAAGGCATTATAACAGTGATTACAGTATTAATTTCCAGCATACAGAAGAATTTGATCAAGTAATCATGCATATGTCCTGCTATTTATTTGCACTAACTCACCCTATGATTAGATTAATAAACAACTTAAATGGGATATGTGCATCATATATATATATATATATAATAATATCAAAGTGAAAACTTATGATCACTTTGGATATCTTAAATGCTCCATATAAAGAAAAAACAAATCTTGCATGCATCAGCAGTACATATGTCCAAACAATGGGTTAGATTCAAATTAGTCCATGTGGCTCATGCAGGCTCCCATATTGGCCACATGCATATGAATACGACAATCCTAAAAGTTGCAAATGCAAATGCTTACCACTTTTACTTTTTGAGGTAGCTGGCGGCGGAGGTGAATGAGAGGCCATAGAGTAAAAATGGTAAATTTCAAACCTGATATTGCAACTAGGCTTAGAAACTCTACCTCCTTCCTTCCCATTACAATATTTACGAATCTCGCTCACACAAGCAGCCAAGCAAATGCGGCACTCAGATGAAACAATGTCAGGAGTGCATTGCACCAGCCCATATAGCCTAGTAAAAGCTGTGAAATTCACATCTTCAGCAGCAAAAAAGTTGCTAGATGACACAGCCGCATTAAACACGAGGATCCTCTTCCATATCAGAGAAAATAGACCTGTTTGAGTACCTTAACATGCACTCTTCATACCATATGATTGCTTCTTTCTGTTTAGGACAAAGGTTTTTGATTTTTTTACTGGCGACCTTGACACAAATTTGGCATAGATCAGGAGAGATGTCTCCTCTACAAAGAAAGAGGCCATAGGCTCTATCAGGGCCCTGCAGCTGTTAGACCGGTCGTCACAGTCACAAAATTAAACCTAAATACCGTAGTTAGCGGTAAGCAGGGTCGAATCCACAGAGAGCAAGACTAACGACCTAATGTATATTTGAGTTAACGAAAGAGAAATTGGCAAAATTATTGATTAAAACTAAGGAAACTAATTACTTCCAGGAAATTAAAAGCATTAAATAAATTGCTAATTAAAACACAATATTAAAAGCGTTGTCGCTACGGGTTCGGTTTGACTCAAGACCAACTCTCACAATTCCTCTCCTCGCTCCTCAATTTCCTAATCCTACAAGGCTAGGCAAATCAATAGAAATATCTCCCGGCAATCTAGGCATAATCTATCCCGTCTCCCCGTCGTCTTAATTACAGATCAATTGGTTAAAGACTATCATTAACTAACCGAAAAATGCTAAACCCTTAAACACCACTAGTTGGTACAGCGTTAACAAGTACAACCTATCAACCTGTATCATCCAATCAACTAATTATACAATAAATGCATTCCTAGTAGAAATGATATTAAACGTTACTACAACTTGATTACAATCAGTACCGAAGCAATTTAAAGTCATAATCAACATTTAATAATCTCAAACCGATATTCAATTATGCGAAAAGTTATATATCAATAAACGTTCTCAATGGACATTATCAATTCAACATGTCGAGCATCAGAATAATATTAAAGCATCACAAACAAACTGAAACGAAAACAAATATAATCTGAATACAAGAAACTTAACCAAATATCCAACATTCGGGCTCATCCAACTAGTCGAGAGCTGATGAGGAGATCAATGGAGTCAATCTCGATCTCGCCTACACCGTAACAGACAATCGGGAACTTAGTCGCTCATGGTGGTGA